AGCGTCAAATTCAATTTTTTGAATTTTTCAGAGAAGGAAACCAAAGCTTAGGGATTGGGCGTGTGTGGGACAGAGACCACTTACTCAAAATAAAAAACAAAGACTTAGATACCTTGAAAGTAGAAAGGAGTTTATTGCTTTCTCATGAGAAAGGGTACTGCTCCTAATCGCCATTGCTGGCCAGGAGAGTATGAGTTGATTCCAGAAAGGAAGCCTTATTTTATACCTTAACATGAGCTCCTCTTCCCTAACCCCCTTTCCCTTATCCCATTGGCTGGGCTTTCAGGGGGCACAATCTATTCATGGTTATACAAGTTTGCCCAGAGATAAGAAAAGGCGGGAAGTTTTGCAAGGGCAAGCAGTTCAGCTTGGGGGTAGGGCTATTCTTTTTCTACATGCTTAAAAACGGGGTCTGAGCGGGGGAGGGTTTTGAAAGCAACAAACAAAAACTATTAACAAGAACTATTGACCCTCTGAGGAGGCTTCATTTCTGAGAGATCATCTCTCACAGGTAGATGCTGTCTTAAGGTCACATGGTGATTCAGTGGCAGAGAGAATTAGAAGTCAAGTCTCCTGACTACCACTCCAAGCTTCTTTCCACCCTCCTCACTTATGCTACCTTCTCCAAACCTGCCTTACCTTCTCTGAAACTCAATGGCATTGTCCTCTCTCCTTTCTCCCCCTACCCCACCCTCTACCTTCCCCAGTTTTCCAGTCACAGATAACTCTGAGAGCCAGGAGTACCATCTAAATGTCTTTTTTTTGGGGGGGGGGGATTGTTTGTTTTATTTTGTTTTGGTGTATCTTTACTACATACATTAACTGCAAAGTCGATTAATTGCAGAGAAGATAGAAATGTCTGCATATCGCATAAAGGGCTAGCCTTATCCATGAACAAAGTAGACAGCCACCAGGAAGCATGATTTGAGAAGATGCCAAATGATCTCCTCCCAATACAAAAGAATCTCCATTGAATTTCCCATTATAATCAACAAACATTTACCAAGCACCTACTAGGAACAGAAAATTGTGCTCAATGCTTTGCCCTTGAGAGAGCTATCAACTTTTGGAAAAGGCAGTGTGGTGGAGATAGAAATACTGGAGCTGCCGTTATAAAGACCTGTTTTCAAATCCTGCCTTAGATGCGTACCAACTATGTGACACCAGGCAAGTTACTTATATTCTGTCAGCTTCCACTGTAAAGATGGAGACAATGTTCCTTTTGATCTGTTTTCTTCTTTCATAACTGTGACTAATATGGAAATGTTTTACATGATTGCACATATATAACCTGTATCAAATTGCTTACCATTTTAGGAAGATGGGAGGGAAGGAAGAAAGCAAGAAAAATTTGGAACTTAAAATTTTGTAAAAATGAAAGCTAAAAATTGTTTTTACACGCAATTGGGAAAAATAAAATACTACTTAAAATTTTTTTTAATGATGAGATCAAATGAGATCATGTATGTAAAGTTCTTTGTGAACCTTAAAGTTCAGTGAAAAGGTGAGCATATGTTACTACAGGTGAACCTTAATACATGGGTCATTATAGATTTCTGGAAGGAGATTCCCCAATGGCAGTAGGCTCCCCATGTGGGCTCATAGGAGATGGTGCCCCCATATACAAGCTTCCTAGACTACAACCTCATCGGCCAGTCCTCCTGTTATACATAGAATAAATAGAAAATTAATAAATATAAATATATACAAAATATAGGGTAGCTTGAAAGGGAAGACAGTAGCAGTTGAGATCATGAAAATTTTCATGCAAAGATGGTGCCTGAGCTACATCTTAAGGAAGGGAGGGACTTCATGAAGCAAAGGTAAGGAGCCAGTGTATTCCAGGCAGGTGGGTCATCCAGTACGAAGTCACAGAGATGGAAGATGTAGTGTCCTGCATGATGAACAGAGAGAAAGCTAGTACAGAAGGGGAAGTGGTATCCAGTGAGTCTGGAAAGACTTAAGGCCAAATTATACAAGACTTTAATAGCTCAACAGAGGCATTTATTTTTATCCTCCAGGCAATAGGGAGCCACAGCTTTTGACTAAGTAGGGGAGTCATCTGGTTGGGGAAAGATCATAGCTCTAGAGGTAACCATAACTCTAAAGGACCTCCGAGGCGATCTAGTCCAACCCCTTGCTTTTACAGATGAAGAAATCAAGGGCTAGAGAGGTTAAATGACTTGCCTGAGGTCACACAGGTAGTGTGCATCAGGGACAGAATTTGAACTCATGTCCTCTAACTCCAGAACCAGTGCTCTTTCCATTGTGTGGACTCCCCCAAATCATCATTAGTCCAACTCCCCCTTTTTTTTTTTAAACAGATAAGGTAATTAGAGCCTGGAAAGCAGAAATGATTTGGGATCATGGGATCATTGACTTAGTGCTACGTGGGTTTTAGAAGGCATTAAGCCCACCCCTCTCATTTGACAGTTAAGAAAACTAAAACACAGAGAGGTTAAGGGACTTTTTTCAGGATCACACAACTAAAAAGTATCTGAGATGGGATTTGAACCCAGGTTTTCAGTGTCTTCATCACTACCTATGGTGCCTCTATACCCAGGTCATATGGGTATAAGTAGCAGAGCTGGGATGCAAGACCAAGTTTTCTGGCTTGACAAGGAGGTGGGGTGCTAGAATTCTCCAGGAAATACACAAAAATACAATGTTCTAAAAGCCAGCTATAAGGATTCCCATTGGCCCCATGCTTGGCTTGTGAAACACATCTGGAAGGCCACCCCACAAGCTGCTGCAGAAATCTGGTGCCTGAATTGAAAAAAAGAAGTCAGTAACAATTAAGGGTGTTTAAAATTCTGGTATTTAAAGCTATTTGACAAAGACATTTATTATGAAGAAGGACTTGTTGGGAATTGAGTACAGATTAAAGAGTAATTCAAAGAATGGGAAAATGGTGAAAATTTGTCCACATCCTGAAAGAATGAAGCATTTTGGGAAAACAGATAAATGTCAACCCAACTAAGATATCTGTGGAGGAACAGCACAAGGAACCCTTGAACAACATTTAGGAGTCAGAAGTCACCAAAAAGCCAGAAACATCTCACATTCACACTTTGTTAGCCCTTCCCCATTTCCCTGTGAGAAAGCCAGAAATGCCAAAGGGCAGGTCATTGAAGGGCAGCAAACAATTGGGAGGCTATTGGGATCTTAAACTGAAAAATGGGTCCCAGATAGGGGAAGAGAATTGCCCAAAGTGAGTTAGTGACAGAGCCAGGTTTTTTCCCCTGAGAAGAAAAAAAAAGAAGTATGAAATAGTGTACTGTAATGAAAGAATTCCTGAACTAGGGGTCTACATACTTGAGTTCTACTTTTGGTTTTGCTTTTGATTCTCTGAACTCAGTATTGCATTTCCTACCTCCACGAATTTGCTGAAGCTGTCCCTCATGCCTGGAACACACTCCCCCTTCAACTTCTGCCTCTTAGAATCCTTAGGTTCTGATCTTTCAAAGCTCAGGTGAAACCTCCTAGGGGAAGGTGATCTTTTTTGGTGCCCCCAAGTTGTTAGAGCTGTCTTTCTCCTTAAATAATTAGGTCTATACATTTAAGTTTATTTTCTGTCTCCACCCCACCCCAGGAGAATGTAAGCTCTTTGAGGGCAGGGTTTTTTTTTCTTTTTCTCTTTGTATCTCTAATGCCAACCACAGTCCCTTGCACATTATTGTTGTTCAGTTGTGTCCAACTCCTCCCAACTCCATGGACCATTGCTTACCGATACCATCCAGGAAGTTGTCTTGGCAAAGATACTAGAGCAGTTTGCCATTGCCTTCTCCAGTGATTAAGGCAAACAGAGACTAAGTGACCTGCCCAGGATCACACAGCTAGTAAATGTCTGAGACCAGATTTGAACTCAGGTCTTCCTGACTCCAGACCCAGCACTATATCTACTGAGCCACTTAGCTGTATGTAGTAGACAGCTAATAAATACTTTTGTATTAGATTGGGTTGGATTGGATTGGATTGGATTGGCTCTATCAACCCAGTCCAATTTATAGGCAAGTTCCTTTTCTTCTGTGGGCCTCAAATTCTGTTTCTATGAAATGAGGAGGTCAGACACTAATGGTCTCCAGAGTTCTACAATCTTGTGAGATTTGAATGGAGATAAAATTGGAACTTCCCTTAGAAAAATTTCCTTAATCTAGCTTGATCATATGTGTGTAATGGGTAATGGAGTGCTGGTAAATGTTTAACAACTATGTCTTTGAGGGGGAAAAAACTACACACCACACTTTTAAATTCAATCTGCATTATTAACATTCTCTTAAGTCTAGGCAATCAGCAAAACAGTAAATCAAGCTTCCTGATTTCTGAATGCTGACACTGAAAATTTAACAACCTGCTCCCCTGGAGCCAGTTAGAGATGGCTCCAGCACACTTCTGGAAATCTGAGTCTGGCATGTGTGCAGTGGTGTCTTTCCACATGCTGGAGGCTAGGGAGCTTGCTTCTGGGAAATCATGATAACATAGAGTGCAAATGCCTTAGAGAGACTGTAGAGCCTTGGTAGACATTCTGAAACTAGTTCTGATCAAGTAAGAAGGTGTCAAAAAGAAGGCTCTTTGATTGGCAGCTAGGTAGCAAAGGAGATAGAGTAGGGAATTTGGAGTCTTGCCTCAAACACTTCCTAGAGGCATGACTATAGGAAAGTTACATAACCTCCGTCTGCCTCTGATTCCTTATCTGTGAAATGGAGATAATAATAATAATAATAACATTGTTGTATGGTTCAAAGAGATAATACAGGAAGCCCTTTGCAAACCTTAAAGTGATATATAAATGTTAGCTATTATTTGCTATGGAGGCATTCAGAAAGGGCTTTCAATTTCAACCATTTCCTCCTGTCCTCATTCGGTGAGTCCTGCATTCATGCATCTAGTGAGGGACAATGCTAGAAGATAGGAGATCATGGGGACTTCTCTCTGAGGGCAGGTGGTCTGAAGAAATGAGCTTTGGTCCTTGGCCTCTACATTTGTTCTTTTCCTTTTAGGTAAAAGAGACTACAGCCTCTGACCTTGGGAGTTCAAAAAAAGACCCTTCAGCGTCTTAGCATTCCGGAGTCTGGATTCCAAAGACAGAGCAGCACTTGTGACCCAAGGAATAAGAAGTAACCTTTCGGCCCCAGCCCAGTGGTAGTGGAGACAAAGACTCATCCAGCAGATATGTCACTTTTGGATGTGAACTTGGTAAGGTCAATGAATGCTATGTAGGAACTGAAGTAAGTTGAGCCCACTCCCCTCAAAGACTGAGGTAATGCAGAGGACAGTGTGCACTCATGGTATTGGGAGAAATGTGCATGAAGTTATCCCTTCCACATCACAACTTTCCCTATCGTGGTTTTGGTATATTGCAAGTTAGTATAAGATATTAAATGGGAATTTTGGGCGAGTTTTGTTGAAGCTGCAAATAACCAGCAGATGATACAGAAAAAGTTTAAAAATTCAGAAATGCATAAAATATATGCATAGTATTGTATAAAATCAACATATTTTATCTTTTAATACTAAAATAATTCAGACTTCTTCTCTGGGGGGCCAAAAAAATTTACAGGGATTTTCCAAATTGAAGAGGTGCCATGCCTCTAACCCCTTCGGTGTGGAAGGGATAGCTGTACATTTTTTCTTGCATTAAGTTTCCCTTTGTAAAAGCTAACCCATGTCAAGCAGTTAAATGGAACTGGGGTTCCAGTCATTGACAATGGTAGAGGCACAAGCTTATGGAAGTGAAGGAGAGATGCTCCAAACACTCAGGGTTACCCATGGAGCCCTGAGGGGCAGATGCAGAAGCCCTGCTTTGGGAAAGAGAGCCAGAGCACTACACATCCAAGGACAGACGGTATTCTGAAGGCATCAACTAAGAGGGACCAAGATTCAGCTGGGACACCTGAGAGTCAAGGCCAAGGTCCAGAGCAAGGTTCTGAGCAGAGCCATAACTAGTCATTTTTGTGTCCAGGACAAGCAACATGAAAGGGAGGGAGGCATGGCACACAGGTGGAGATAGAGAAGCTCAACATGGATAAATGGAGAAGATCCTGGGGGAATCTTAATTCATAATTCTGGCTACCATGCACAAAACTCTGTTGTTTATCCTCCTAAAGATTTATGAGAGCTGCTAGTGTACTCTTTTCTTTTCTTTTTTTTTTTTTTGCTTTTTGGTGAGGTGATCAGGGTTAAGTGACTTGCCCAGGGTCACACAACTAGTAAGTGTTAAGGGTCTGAGGCTGGATTTGAACTCAGGTCCTCCTGACTCCAAGGCCAGAGCTCTATTCACTGTGCCATCTAGCTGCCCCTGGTGCACTCATAATTTCAACAGCCTAGTACAAAGCCCTGATGGCCCTACTCTTCTTTTGGCTCCAATTATGGGACCATTTAATAGGTTTCCTGGAGCCATCCAGGCGAACTGTCACCAGAATTTTAAACACCCTTAATTGTTACTGACTTCTTTTTTTCAATTCAGGCACCAGATTTCTGCAGCAGCTTGTGGGGTGGCCTTCCAGATGTGTTTCACAAGCCAAGCATGGGGCCAATGGGAATCCTTATAGCTGGCTTTTAGAACATTGTATTTTTGTGTATTTCCTGGAGAATTCTAGCACCCCACCTCCTTGTCAAGCCAGAAAACTTGGTTTTGCATCCCAGCTCTGCTACTTATACCCATATGACCTGGGTATAGAGGCACCATAGGCAGTGATGAAGACACTGAAAACCTGTCACCGACACTTACTGGCTATGTTACTATGTTACCTCTAGGAGCCTCTGGTTCCTCATCTATTAATTGGGTATAATAATCCCCATACTATCTTCCTTCTTCACAGGGTTGTTGGGAAGAATGAAATTTGTAAACCATAAAGTGCTATAGAAATGAGAGTTAGAATTAAAATTATTCACCTATTGACTTAGGGAATCTTCCTTATAGTTACATCTTCAGAAAAACCTGTCCCTGCCTCCAGCTTCCTGTACAACCACTACTACCACTTCCCAGTATGAGTTACCAACATTTTTAGGCTAGTCTTAAGGAAGCACAATCTAATTCACCACAGGCCTGAGGATAGATAAGGTACAGATCTGATCAAAGGAGGCACCTATCTGGCTAGGTCCTTAAGAGGCACTTGTTAACTTTGGTTAATTGATTGAATTAGCCTAAGTCCTGCCATGTATCCTAGGGTTAAGAATCAAGGAGGGGGCAGCTAGGTGGCGCAGTGGATAACGCACTGACCCTGAAGTCAGGAGGACCTGAGTTCAAATATGGTCTCAGACCAGACATTTGACACTTACTAGCTGTGTGACCCTGGACAAGTCACTTAACCCTAATTGCCAAAAAAAAAAAAAGAATGAAGGAGGAAGGCCAGCTATAAATATTTGCAGGCAATGAGAAGGCCAGGTTGCACCCACTGAAAAACTTGTCCCATGAATGGGTACAGTGAGTCCTCTATCTGAACTAGATCCTAGAACGCATGGTCAAGACAACTCACAACTCCAGAACCACAGAGTCAATGTCCTGTGTTGCTCAAGAGTAGCAGAATATAGGGTGTGGTATTGATATAGGGTGTGGTGTTGACAATTGATGAGCCATACTGATGTTCAACTGGACTGGCTCTCAAAGGGCACAGTGTCTCCAGGGGACTGGAACAACTAGGTCTGCTAGGCCTGGCATGCGTGTCATGGTCACTCTGGCTGAGCTAATTCCTCCCCAGATTCCACTGTGGCTGAACTAGGCTGGACTATAGCTGCTGGCAGGTCACTGCCACTGTTTAGCTGCTATTGAACAGTGCTAGGTAGGCTGCACTGCCTCTAGATGGTGACCACTGGTCAGGGCTAGGAACAGCTGCTCTGCTGTTGGACCTGGGTGCATGTTGCTCAGCTATTGGGATTTTCTGTGCTCTCTCCAGCTAGAGTGTTATTATGTTCTTTTCAGCTGTAGGGCCTTGGAGCTCTTTCAGTTAAGTCAATAGCCTTAGGGATCGGCAGGAGCCTCCTTTGGACTCTGTCAAGGACTCAGTTCTCAAGGTAGTTTGTCTCCTCCAGGCAGGAGATGGAAGAAATCTTGTCCAGCCTATTGGAGAAATTCTTCCTGACTCTGAAGCCTCCTCCCTCCATGTAATTAGTCATTCTATGTTGCCTTTGTTTGATTTAGTTACCAATTTAGTTTCACCTGTCATACTCCTTTGGGAATGTTATATAGATGAGTGGCCAGAAGAAGGATATGAATATGGGCTATGCTCTAGAGACAAATTCATTGCCCTGCTGGCCTCTTCAAATGCGCTTGAAGTATTTATTCAAGCCTCCTGCCCTTCCTAGGGTAACTTCCAGGAGGCTCAGGCACTGTTCTCTTATGAGGAGAGTCCCAGAACAATGAACTTTAGGACTGGGGTTACATTAGGGCAGAGTGGGATAGGTAGGTTGGTAGTGTAGGTAGAAGCAGCCAGGGGGTACAGGGGTTACAGTATGAGGCCTGGAGTCAGGAAGACCTGAGTTCAGATCTAGCCTCAGATACTTACTAGCTGTGTGATCCTGGGCAAGTCAGTTTCCTCATCTGTAAAATAGCACCTACCTCCCAGAGTTGTTGAGGATCAGATGAGATAATATTGTAAAGTGTTTAGTACAGTGCCTGGCACACAGTAGGTGCTATATAAATGTAGCTACCATTTTCATTATATTTTGCGTCTTTACATTTTTTTCTTTACATTTCAGTGCATACTCTCTTACATTCAAGCAACAGCTGGGAGAGGGAGTAACTCCCCTTTATGAAGATCCTGTGGCCCCCAAGAATCAAGTTGGGGTTTTGGGTCTGTTTTGTTTGTTCTTTTTAGTTCTAGATCTAGGCAATCTAGCTCTCAGAGGTAGAGCTGACAGGGTACAGGCTCTGGAAACTCTCCCCACCCCAGCTCTCCTTGAATTTCTTCACATGGTCATGTCTCTGGTGTTGATGATAACCTTGCAGCCAGGATTCCGGGTAGGACATTGCTGCCAGCCTAGCAGGGAAGCCCAGAGAAGTCAGGGTGCCAAAACACAAGCCTGGGAGAGCCTTTGGATTTGGAACTTGGTGGGATAGGGCTATGTAGAAGATGAATTAAACTGTGAACCTAATGCCTCTCTCTTCCTTACACTGAGCTGATAGAGGGGTGAATGGGATGTCCCAGTGAAGACTTCTCAGTGTAATTAAGGCAATGAATTCAGAAGGTAGGACAGGGTTGAGAATAGATTTCTGTAAGTTATTTTTTTAGTGCAGTATATCAGTAGTTAAAATTTGTCTAGTGGTTAAGTCTTAACTTACTTTTTAATCTTATTCAAATTCATCTTTGCCCCTAAAAAGGATCTGGCTCCAGAAAACCCTTAAAAGTTCCTTATCTACTCCCCTTATCTCCCTTTGACAGGATCTTACTCAGATGTCTTCCAGTTCCCAGCATTGTCTGTTCAATCCCTAAGACCTTCCAAAACAATTGTAAATTAGAGTCTGGTGTGTGAGATTGTGAGCCAAGTTAGCAGACAGTTGGGGGAGGGAGGGAGAATTGAACCTTCAGGCTTATATAAACTGACTTCTGCCTCTGTGGGTTGTCTCCCCTCATCAGAGCTTACTGGTGGAGGGACATCCAAATCTCGAGATTTGAAATAATAATAATAATTATAGCTATAATAAATTAACTTTCTGTTTCTCCTTGGACACCCCTGTGTTTTGTTTTATTTTTAATTTGAGTGGTATCCCACACAGTTTGGTGCATGAGCTGGGAATTAAGCCTCTTAAGAGTCGACTCTCTCTCTAAGGGCTGAGAGCAGGCACCCACCAACCGCTTTCTTGGTGGCTCTCAGACTTGGGGATTGGTCTCCCTCCTGGGAGCAGACATCCCAAAGAGAGGAACTCGGAGGAGCAGAAACAAAACAGGGAGAAGCTCCAGTAGTGGTACAGGTGCGAAACTCCGGCTGGTAGAGAGAGCAGTCACGTAAGTTATACTTGTATAACCTTAGGACTGCCAGAATTTGTGGGTCTTTGGGATAGGACTGACTATCCCTGGAGAGATGCCGACAAATGAGTGCTAAGGTAACTGAGGGAAGGGAGCGATCCTTCCCTGCGGGCCTAGGGTTAGGTCCTGAAAAATTCGTAGGTCCTTGACCTGAGAGAATCTGGCGACAGATTTTCAGATAAATTTTAACATGAGTAATGAGTGAAATCCTGTACAATGGAGCAGAAGGAAGGTATACCAAGAAAATAGTCCTTTAGGGAATAAGCTTTAGAATTGGAATGAACCACCA